GGGGGGAAACCTGTATAAAAGGATCATTTGAGTTGATGCAATTGTTTCAAAATATGGTATAGGATATGTATAGGGCTGAAAACTAACAATTATTTTCCTTAGCAATTAATCTCATGATTATTTTCTCAATTAAGCAATTAATCTATTGGTCTCTAAAACATAAAAAAATCTGTGACAAATACCGATCCCAATTTACTAGAGCCCAACAAATGTCTTGCTTTGTGCAACCAACAGTTCAAAACCCCAAAATATAAACTTTAATCTAATGTAAATCAAAATAAGGCAGCTATTTGTCTCATTTGAGAAGCTGAAACCATAAATGATTTGTACAGTTTTGCTTGACAAATGACAAACCATGAACTGATTGTAAAAATAGTTGCTACCACGACATTTTCTGAACTACTAATTGATTAATGGAGTTACGTTTGTAGCTTTCTCTTTCAACTGAATTGGTTCTTTATCAGGTACAGAGGAATCAAATCAGACTCAGACAAGAGAGAAATGCATGTGTTTTGCACGCTGTTTAGGTCAAATTGTGTTTGTTTTAATTTGCTAAAGAGCCGCACTGATGTACAGTGGAAGTGGCATCCTAATATGTATTTTGGGGGCTTACTGTACAGAGGCACAAAATATAGGACATTGAAATAATAGCCACTGCAGCTGCTTTACCACCGCTGACTGACCACTGCAGCAGAGGAAACTAAAATTGTACATCTGGGAAAAGCAAGTATAAAATTTGCTGCATACAGAATACAAGAGTACAGCACATAGAAACAGTCTCGTAGCAGCTCCAGTCCGGTGTATTATGACTGAAGCAGCCAGCGGTCCTTATTAAGAAAGATGTTTTATTAACTTTTATCTGTTTTAGAGTAATAATCTTGTCAGAGCAGTTTAAATGTTTCACCTAAAAATCTCCCACACTCATTTTTGAGCTGATTAAGATCAAGCTGTTTAATATTTCCTCACATATGGCCCTCACATATGTTCAGCTGCAGGAAACGCTTTCTTTCACGCTCCAACAGCCCATCATCGGATCTTATGTAACATCACTATATGTACTTTATAGTCATTTAAAGCTGTAGTCTTAGTAAATACCACTCTTAATTGAAAAATAGCAGTTACGTAAAATCTTGTACCCTCTTTTATTGAATCTCTTTTACAAACATCTTCTTTCTTGCAGCATTCAGAGCTCTGCTGCAGATCCGAGCCATGAGGAAGAAACTCAGTCCTCTGTCACCAACCAGCTTTAACCCCGTCATCACTTCACAGACCTCTGACTCGGAGGAACACTCGGTGAGAATGACACAAAAACAAAAACATGATGTAAATATAAAATAATGATCATTCCCGGTTGCAGTAAACTCACCAAGTGTCCTCTCTCCTCATTTGCAGGCGTCGGAGCACATCCCTCCAGGCTACGAGGTGGTGTCTCTCCTGGAGGCGTTGAACGGCCCCCTCAACACCTCGTCGGTGGCGCCTCCACCTCTCAACTCTGGTCCCAGCCACGTCTCTGGAGCGCTGCCTCCGTACAGCAGTGAGCCTCACCCGGCTCCGGCTCGCTCCCTCTCCCCTCTAGACCACTCCAACTCCAGTCAGGGACTCAAACTCAAGAAGAGCGGTTCAAAGTGAGTCTGCTTGAGTTAATGTGTGCATGTGTTAAGTTATTGTGTACAGGTACATCAAACCCAGTCCTGTTCATTTTCTCTGAAGCTAGTCCATTATGTTGTTTATTTCAGGTCACTTTCCCAGAATTCCTCCGTGCTTCCCGAGGAGGAAGATGAGAAGTCTTGCAGCGAATCGGAGGCCTGTCGCCACAAACTCGCTGTGGACCAGCAGGAGGTGTGTGTGTGTGTGTGTGTGTGTGTGTGTGTGTGAAACGGAGACAAAGAGATGTTTACTTCAGTGATATCTTCAAAGGCTGTGGGTTTGTTTGTGTGTTTGTGTTTGTGGAGGATCATGTGGTGTTCACGCTGCTGTTGTTGTTTTACAGAGCGGAGTGACTCCAGACAGCGAGAACCTCACTCTGTCCTCGTCTGGAGCCATCGACCAGTCGTCCTGCACTGGGACCCCACTCTCCTCCACCATCACCTCCCCTGAAGGTACGACATACATGTTTATCTACGTTTTTGAGGACCCTGGTTGACATGATGCTTTCCTTAGCCCCAACTCTAACCTTAACCACCGCAACTAAATGCTTAACCCCGACCTTTATTCTAATTTGAACATCAAAAAAAACAACAGCAAGTTTTGAGGACCGACCAATGCAGAAATGTCCTCAGTGTGATGGTTTAAAAGCTGAAATTGGACCTCACAAAGATAGCAAGGCAAGGAGTAGCACTAAAAACCACAACAAAGGATGATGTAAAGTGTAAGTGACAGAAGCTGTATTAACCTAAATGCTTTTCTGCAAACAGGTAAGCGGTTACACACAGATTACGAGGTTATACAGTGAAATCTTTGGAAAACCACAATGTTCCTTTCTGGTGTGTCAAGTGAACTATTTCAGGGAGTTTTCAGTTTTTATGCTTAAATGCAATAGTATTTGCAGTAGTGTTATGTGCTGCATTCCTGCAAGGCAACAGATAATAGGCCTCACAATGAGAACACAATTTATTGTACTAAGCCTATAAAGTGTTTCATTTGATTTTTTTAAACTTCTCCTTCATATACAATTAAAATAAAAACTAAATCTTTTGACACTGGCAGTGTATTTGGGGTGTTGTATTATTGTCTTTTGAGACTTCACAATGCTTCATTGATTAACTTTTCCCCCTCAAATTCATTTAAATGGTTGCTTCACCCAGCAGTGACACCACTTCTTCTCCTGGACCTAGTGCCAAATGTCACACTAGCACGTGGTCCTTAAAAATCCCTAAATTAATAAAAAAGTAAAATGAAGTCAAAAGGCCATCACTTGCAATGTTATGTATTCCATGTCTGAAAATACCTTTTTTCATATTAAAGTGAAATACAATTTTCCTGCGTGGCGTTAATACAGTTTATCTTATCTTCCTATAATTTGAGACGGCAGCTCACACTGTTTGTTTCTCCTTGTTTCGGTGTCTCAATATAAGATGTCAGATTAAGCAGCGGTGTCCATACAGGAAAATCATTTTCCTCAAAGTGGTTTACAATTTAGCAAGAAAGCTAAAAGCATAGAGCTCAAGGCGCTGCATGGAGCAATTTAACATAAATAAATCATAAGCTTGAACCACCTCAGCGTTTTATATTGGTGCCACTGGATCAGATTTTATGGGAAATCTGCTGGATGGCTTTTCGGCACAAAACAGGAAGAGATGACTATTATTCCAGCTAGTTCAAATGTGTTTATCCTCATCTATAAAACTAATCCTTGTGTAGCCGGGCTTCAGGCTTGTGTTGCTGACAGAGGTCTGGAGTAAATCTAGTCAAACAACTCAGAGTTTTAGAAATATTCAGTCAGCTAAGATTGAAAATGACCACCTCTCTTTCTTTTAAGAGTTTAAAAGTTATGTGAAAAGATGGATACCAATCTCATGATGGTGCGTTAAGTATCAAGCTAGAGTCAAGTGGCAATTGGGAAGCAGGGTGAAACAGCTTGCTACCAGTCTCTTTAAACTTACTAATTACTGCACTGTATCTTGGTTGTGTGAATCGTACGTACCCAGAACCATTTCTTGACGGTTGGTTGCTACAAATTGTTCTTTAAAATTTCTGTTCATATATAGATATAGATGTTAATTAGTGAGCGTTAGAGGTGTTGATAGGAAAATGTATGCACTTTAGGACGGAGTCATTCTTGCTGTTTTCCCCTCCTAGTCTATATGCCATAGCTCTATACTTAGCCCACAGACATGGCAGCGTTATCAATCTATTTAGCTAATTATTGTAAAGAGGTGAAATAGCGTATTTCCCAGAATGTTGAAATATTCCTTTTAATATGACACTGAAACATTAAAAACAACAACAATAATCTGCTGTACAGTCTGCTGTTGGTAATTCTGATCAGGGAGCACTTTTAAAACAATAAATGGTGGAAATCTCACCAACCAAAGGAAAGAAATCCCTCCGACCCTGAACTCGACCGTGATATGTGTCTCCGTCTGTCTGTCAGACCCAGTGAGCAGCAGCCTGGTCCAGTCAGTGATGTCCATGGCGTCGTCCCACTCGCAGCACTCCCACATCAGCACTGACACCATGTCCTCCATGTCAGGGTCCTACCTGGCCGGGGCCGAAGGCGAGCCCGGGGGGGACGATGGGGCAGACGTGGAGGGCGAGGAGAACCAGGACGCCCCCATGGAGAGCCGAGGACCATCGCAGCAGGACGGGGTGAGGAATCCAGGGATGGTTGGATGGTTGGATGGTCGAGATATTGGCTTTAAACGTGTTGTAAACATGTCGTCTCCTCGTTGTCTCACTTTGGTTCATTTAGGAGTTTTCCCAGGAGCCAAAGGAACAAAACTACTCAGTGGCTGTAGAAGAGCAGGACTCAGAGGTGACTGTAATACACTGATGTTTACTGAACTGTGGTTAATGCTCATTTTATCTATTAATATAACTTTTGTTTTTTTTCTGTTTTCTCCAGGGGAACGATGTCACTGAAGAGGACTGCTCCTCTCCGTCTAATGGGAAAGGTAACTATGGTGACCATCCCTCACCTCTCACCTCCCTTTGCATTTGTTGCTCTGAGGCCATGTGAAAAAGACTTTTCATACAAACTATATATATTATGGACTTAGTTGTTGCCGTCCATAAATCTTTTTGAATCATGGCTGAGTAATGACAACCCTTTCAAAATAAAGGGACTAAATGTCCTCTAGAGGGGGCAGTCCCATTCAAAATGCACGTACTGTTGGCTGGAACCACCACAACATGCAGTATCTGAACTGGAGTGAATGGCTTCTCATACAGTGTGTGTGCACTAGAACCTTGGTCTACTTTATAAATACTGAAATTAATCCCAGATCTAAATTTATTCACTATTGTCACTGACCTGATTGTCCTACTGTAGTCTTCTTTTGTGGTCACAGAACTGGACTGGATGTGGCAAGAACTGCCTTCTTGAAATCTGACACTACCCTGTAACATCCAAAAACAAAATACCGTTTTAGATTTTAAAGTTCTCTGTTAACTCTGTTATCTCATAGAAAGCAAGCACAGGCTCAGTGTAAGACACCAGCAGACCACAGACAACAGTCTTAAAGCATCTGTAATCGAATTGTCTCTAATAACAGTGTATTAAATGCCAACGTGAGAGTCACTCGTAGTGTTGAACCTAAAGACAGTTTACACCCGAATCTGTGGCTACCTGATAGTATGGAGTCTTATGGAGAAATGACTACTACTACTTCTTACTTGATGTATTAGCTCAGCAACAGTGTCTAAAGGAGTCATAGTGCCAAGTCTTCTTGTATGCAGCATGATGTTCATTTCTTAATTAGGATCCCAATTAGAGTAAAATACACAATAAAGCAGGTTATGTTGAAGGGCGGGGCTGGCTTGTTATTGACAAGTTATTCTCAGTCTGTCTGCACTCAAACAGTCAAACTACGCAGTGATGATCAAATGGTTGTGTAAATAAGCAACTGTTTGCTAACAGGTTCCCCGTATCAGCTTAAAGGCGATGATTTATATGTTTACGTGTGTCTGCTGCCCAGAAGTGGAAAAAAATGGTATAGCAGGTTTAACTGCAAAAGTAATTAGTTAAATTGCTCTAAACTTTTGTTTTTTTTGTTTCTTTTAAACACCTTCATGTGTAGAAAATGAGACATTGTGGTTCAACGAGCAGCCAGCCTACTGCCTGACCATCAACATAGTTTAACTTTAGCCTTAAGTTAGTGTTTAATAGAGGCCAACCAGCCCTTTAAAACACATTTCCACATTAAAAATAAAAGAGACCAAACTGACACTAACCCTGCATCCCTCAGAGGATCCAGTCCCCCTGAATTGTTACACAGCTGGCAGTGAAAAGTCTGAGTGACTTTTATGCATGTGCCTCCTCTATTTTACAATCAGTATTTCCTTATTTGTGAATGTAATGACCGGTAATCAAATAATTAGCAATAAATATGGATTGTTTCCAATTGATCCATTCACAACAGGAAATGAGCACGCACGGGCATCCTGTGTTGTTTAGATGAGGTTCTGCTGCACACCAGGCTACTGACTTGCATTTGCATGATTTGCACCTCCTATATAAATGTTTGTGTGTAAATGTGTATGTATGCTTGTGTATTTACTGTTTGTGTATGAGGTAAAAAAATCATTTACATGTTCTTGCTAAAAAAAACCCCAAAAGCTCTGCATTGCAATGTGCATTTACTTTTTTTTAGCTGCTGCATCATGAAGTGAAAGCTTCTTCATGCTCCATCTGTGTGTGTGTGTGTGTGTTTGTGTTTGTTTGTTTGTG